TCCTTGCTTCCTTGCTTCCTTCCTTCCTTGCTTCCTTCCTTCCTTCCTTCCGTCCTGGCTTCGTACCTTCCTTCCTTCCTTCCTTCCTTCTTTCCTTCCTTCCTTCCTTGCCTTTCTTTGTTTCTTTTTTTATTTTTTATTGATGCATTTTTATTTTGATGCATTTATATTTTTTATTGATGCATTTATATTTCTTTTTTGATGCGTCTCCCGGTCCTCCTCCACCTAACATCTTCTTGTTATATATATACTAGTAGTAATGCCAGGAGCTAATAGCAGCGTCCTTGCTACTAGTGGCGATGCTGTTTGTTCCTTTTCTCTTTGGACTTTTTCCCAAAGGCACGCGCGAAGAGTTTCCCGTAAAGAATCTCTGCAACCTCAACGGTCCAACCGTCAACTGTCCAACCATCATCATCGTCATCATCACCAAACCGTCATCACTACCACAACATCACATTATCATCACCATCATCAATCTCATCATCATACAGGCGCAGAGATGAAGATGATGCAGCTGTTCTTGCACACCTACATAGATACAGGTGTTTGGATACAGGTGTTGGGATGCAGGTGTAGAGATACAGTATAGTACAGGAGTTGAGATACAGGTCAGACACCGACTAAACTCACCTACATAATTTCAACGTCGACATCTTTATGCGGAGATTGCGCGTGTCGGAGGCGCGAAACTGTGGTAACACGCGAAAACCATCACAACTATATAATAACATCTACTTTATCTTGGCGTCAGAACCATCGTGATCATGATGATCATCATCATCACCACCAGCACCACCACCATCCTCATCCTCGTCGTCGTCGTAGGCAAACATGTACTTGCTTCTTATACTACCATCCTATATCCTTGCCATTCCTTACCTAGGCACCCAATCGGGTTGGACCGAGGCACTTTGGTACAGCCTCGATGCGCACACGACACGCCAATGAATACTCCTCTGAAGGTGGACCTTGGGGCCATCCTATTACACACCACACAACCACCGTCCAGACATGAGGGAATCAAATCAGTGTGTTGCCTGCATTGCGACCAACTGCTTGACCGCTTCCGATGACAAACTTGATGCACAGCAGCGATGCAACCGTGCTGTGTCAACCAGTCTGTGTTCCATAATCAAGCAATTACGACTGAAGAATTCAAACTTTCCATTTTTCGATCAACGGTCTAGATCCGATTAGGCCTGATTAGGCTTGAATCAGGTCCATCACTGTCATAGCCGAGCAAAGCACATAGAGGCTTGATAAAGAGATTAGCGCTGGAACCCTCACGTCTTTGATGGCTCGCTGCCACAACTCTGACTGGGAACCTGTGATACAGAAAGTCACTCGTTAAAGAATTGTATATGCAAATTCCACGTCCAATAGGAACCAAAACAAGGTTGCGAAAGCGCTGGTCCCATCTCACTTTTTACATATGAAAAACTGATATTGTGTGTGCGTATGCAGTATATGTTTTGTGTGTACTTTGTGGTTTATGTATTCTGGGCCCTCTGCCGCCTGCAAGATGCATTGCCTCATCAGATCGCGAGTCTGGCATATGCTAAACACGCTTCGAAACGAACCTCGCATGACATTGAAACTATTCCCTGCCAAGTTTTAAGAAATGCATATTGAACATCAATAAGTATATAACTTGGATGGTGAGTTCATTGGAAAGTCTTCCTGGGGGCTAGGCCTGAGGCACGAGGCTTGTGAATGCTTTTGACCTGTGTGTGTGTGCCCAGTTTGTGGGTCCCAGCTCCTGTCATTCCGCCAAGGTGCATGAAGGACCCATCACCCGAAACGGGGACAGGAGAAAATTCTGCCCAACCTCACGCGCTACATTGTGGTTCGAAAGCATGCTACATCTGCGCCGCTTAAACCCGGCAAACTGTGCTGGCACTGCGCCTCATTAAAATTTACCCTTCCGAAGAGAATGTTTTCCAGTTCGCTGCGCTAATGTCAAACCAAATAAGCCTCAATGCAACTAAGACTCAAGAGTAAGACTTCCTCGCTTCCCTAATGCAACTCCGAGGGGCCATCCGGCTCGTGTCCGAAGCTTGCTGCCAAGGGCTGCTTCTTGAGCATCTCGGATGCTTGTGTGACAGACACTCCGGCCGGCAACACGTGCTCTTGTAGCAGGATATATCAGGATATGCCTCATTGTCGGCCACATTGTTCGGCAATGTGGCAATGAGTTAATAGGTGGGCAAGTCTCCACAACCCTTGTTTCGTTGGGCCTTGTTGCCCCATGCATATGCGGCGGGGCTTCAGCTAAGCACAGCCAGCCAGTGCCCAACACGCAAAAACACACATCAACAGGGAATACAAAACTGAAGTTTGGTTTTGGCTACAAGCTCCTTGCGGCCAGAATTGCATGCAAGTTAGCTTGGGCGTTGCAAGGCCACTGGCCGAATTCAATCATTGTTTGCCTAAGCCGTGGCTTTAGGCAATCATTTGGTTTTCATGCGGGCCGATGGTCCAATATGATCCTCTAATCGCTAGTTGGCGTCATGGTGCGCATGCCCACCACGAAGCCACAAAGACCTCCCAACTTTGAGGGCCCGCACAGGCAGCAATGTGCTGTACAATAGCTTCGGGCCGTTCGACTCTGATGGCTGTATCTCGGCATCAGTTCAAGGCAAATCTGACCCAACCCAAAAATAAACACATCCCAGAATTCATTCACATGGGGGTTGTTCGCAGGACCTTCGCAAAGTGTTCGCAAGTTTTCGCGCGTGGGGTTTTCCCAGTCGGCGAAAATGGTTTGCTCATCCCTTCTCTTTATCTCTTTTCTCTTCTACCCTTGACCCGAGAAAAGGCAATTGGAACCCAGTGGCCCAAATTGTTTTTCCAAGGTCGGGCAACAGCAACCGGAAGACTGTGGCCAAATTGTTTTTCCAAGACTGCAAGAAAGCCAAAAGTGACCAGGACAAATGGGCTCTGCAATCTCAGGAGCTTCGGCCTAATGGCCTAATGGATAAGGCGTCAGGCTGATAAGCTGAAGGTCCTGCGTTCAAGTCTTGCTTGCCTTTGAAGTTTGTGAGCCAAATTGATTTTTTTGGCCACCTTGCTTTTTCCAGGCTTGGGAAACAATCGGATCTCTGCGCCAAAGAGCTTTTATTGCTTTTTCCAGGTCCGGCGGGAAAAAGCAAAATTGGAATCCTGTGGCCAAATTGTTTTACAATAGGAAGTTGGTGGCCAAATTATTTGTTTCCAGGGCCGGGACAAAACAAATTGGAAGCCTGTTGCAAAATTGCTTTTCGGCCCGGGGCAAAGCAAATTGGAAATCTGTCCAAGCCTGGCAGAAAGCCAAGGAAAGTGCTTTGCCCTAATGGATGAGGCGCCAGGCCTGCAAGCCAAAGGTCTTGGGCTCAGGTCTCGAGTCTGTTGCCAAAATGCTTTTTCCCGATTCGGGAAAAAAACAAGTTGGAAGTCTGGCCAAGATGCTTTGTCTAGGCCCGGGAACAAGCAATTCAGCTGCAGGCTTCCGAATTTTTCCAGGCGCCTGGAAAACGCAATCGGAAGTAATTGCTTTTGGAGGGCGCCCCAGGTCACCAACTTGGCTTCCGCAGACCTTTCGCAGGACCTTCGCGAACCTTTCCCGACTGCAGTGGGAGCGCACTATAAAAATTCGTGAACTAAAAAGGTAGAGGTTAGTTTTCGAACGACACTCACACGACCACTGCGCAACCCGACACTCTGTCGCAACAAAGTGAAAAGGCCGACTCAAAAAAGAGGCTCAGACGCAAGCATGGCGAACCTGTTTTGGCGCTAACGCAAGAGGTCTTGGCTCGGGCTCTTTGCGCAACGGGCCCATGCGCAATCCTGGGCGAATGCGATACATGCACACGCTCACATGAACTTTGACGCTGCCATAGTTCTCCGTTGACCCTGAACCGCATGTTTGGTGGTAGTCGTTGGACAAGTTTCAAGTGGTCGTTGCGACGCCTGTCGCCAGTAGCGATTGAATCTGCTTGAAGACGCCGCTGGAGGGTGAACAAAGTTGCTCGAAGAGGATGAACTATAAAGAGCCCTGGCGTGCGCTAGGGCTAGGACTGTGTCTGCGGAGCCCGGCGGAAGCGACACCAAAGGCCACCCGTCGAATTCACAGCCACACGCGCGCGACGCGAAACCATTTGCGCCACGGCGTCACGCAGCATGGTTCAGTCCGGCGCTGCATTCGACACCATTCCATTGCTGTCCACGCGCTGCCAGTTTAGTTTCCAAAGCACGCCCCTCAGCCCACTCCTCTGGTCTGCCCTTCAAAGTTGCAATGATTCAAGAACAGTGGAAGCAGCCGAGCTATTGTTCGTCCATCGGAGCGCGTGCAAGCACACCGTGTCTTGAACCGCTACCAGCAAAGACTTCCAACATGTCGCTTCTTGATGTAGACCTTTGCATTGGAGAGGCTGCTGCCTGCTCATCATCCCAGTTCCACTCCTCCTTCAATTCGCTGCGCTCCGCTTCCAAGTAGATCGCCACCCGAGCTGCCTGCGCTGCAAATGCCCCGAGGCTTTTCGAAGGTGACGCGAGGTCGGTATTGGCAAAGCTGGAAACGGCAGACACTGCAACTGTTTCAGGTTGGAAACTTTTTTGGCTGCACGGTGGTCTCTTGAAGGGTTGAAGACCCGAGTCACCTGCAGCTTGACAATCGTTTTTGGCCATTGCTGTTTTGCTTCTGTTGCGCAAGGACCGCTGACATTTCACAAGTTCCACCACCTGTTCCTGTTCATCTCAACCCTGTTTGGCGAGCTTTGTCTGAGGAAGTTTTTGGACCGATTCTCCACTCACGATGCCCAAAGGAAGCATCCACAGACGTTGCACACAGCTCCATCTTCGCGCACGCAGGGATGGAGATACGGCTCAGACCTTGGACCAATGGACGCTTGAATTTGCGGCGCCAACGACTGTTCGCATGATTTGCATCATTTCAAGAACGTTCGCATCATGTCAAGCCGCTTATTGCGCTTGCACTTGCCTCAATCAACATCAAATGACTTCCCAACGCGACCAGCAAGCAATCTCGGCCCTTAGCCTGCATCCGCGCACTGCTACATGGCCTTGCACGAAGTTGACGCTGATGTGGCCACGCTTGGCCTGCTCGGCTACCCAATTCAAACCCGCACGCGTACGTGGACAGGCTGTGTCTACGACCATCTTCCCACTCAATGAAGCCACTGCAGCACAAACTTCATGAACCATCAACGCGACGAACGTGAAGAGGGGGAGGTTGTGGACGCGTTGGGTGGTGCAAACTCACCCACGCTTCTTTTGCGCCATGCCATGACTTGCCAACTTCTTCGGTTTGCCTTTGCACTCACCTGCCCAGCGCGCAAGGAGAGCAAGTTGAAGTCTTCATTCACTCATCTATGGGCTTGCAGCTGGTGAAATTCCTGCCAGACATCAACAACTTCCGTTTGCGAGTAGTGACTGTCAACGCTTCGCAACGGGTCACGAGTCTGTCTTCCCAAACAAGTCTTCCCGGCGTCTTCCCCTACCTGCAATAAAAGCATCGTCAACCTCTTGGTCACCTTCGAGCACATGGGCCTCGTCCTCCTTCTCCTCCTCCTCCTTCTCCTCCTCCATCGCCTCAACCTGGTCTTGTTCGACCTCTGTGACTCGGGCTTGTTTGGCATGGACCTCGCTTCTTGCCTTCGCCTTTACCCTTCGTGCCCCAACCAAAGCAAGTCTCTGGCTTTCTGGGCCAAGGTGGCTTCTCTCGAGGGCTCGGTTGCCGCGAGCTTCTTCACCATACATCCAACGACGGATGTCCACTGAAACAGACTGAAGCGTTTGTTCTGCTTGACGGCATCGATTGCGTAGGCCCCACCGATCCGATCCAGCAGGTTGTCGGACAATGCTCCAGCAATCGCTCATCAGCCCTAATTAGACAAGCCCGGCGGGCATATAGCAAGCCAATTCAATGTCGGCTCGACATGATCGCCCGAAGAAGCCAACTTTTCCGAATTACAATGCCCCATCCATCTCACCTCCGGCCTCTCCAGTGAGGCTTGAGCCTGAGTATATAAAAAACAAGGCTGCCTCTTCGTGGCTGGTGATCAGGCGCTCCCACACTTCAAGCTTCCTTCCGCTTTCCAAAATGGTGGCTGTCTGTGGTAGGTATCCTGAGCATTCCTGGGCGGTTCCTGGCTCCTTGCCCAGGCCACATTCAGAAATTTGAAGCAGCTCCACCACCAAATGCAAGCTGCAATGTTTTGACCAGCTGCGGCAACTGCTTGGTCAACTCTGCACTGCGCTGGTGTCGCGACTGCGACCTACCCAATGTACCCTGCAATGTGTCAATATTGTCACCACTGTCAGCCATGGAAAAGTTCTGTGCTTTTGCGCTGGGTCAACAGATGGAGGGGCAAAATGAAAGGAACGCTCAAACGCAAGCATGGCAAAGCCCTCTTGGTGATAATGCAGAAGGTCTTGGCTCGGGGCTCTTTGGGGAACATCCATAGACAATGACGGGTCACTGTGGCTGAGACTAATGTCAACCAACTGAGGGTGCGACAAGTTGTCTAAAAAGGAGATACCAAAACCTGGGCCAGCGCTTGGAGATGCAGAGCGCGTTCCCAAACATGGTTTGTATCTGTCAGATTTAGCAGATTTCTCGGGCTGTACAGTCTTGGGAATCGATTCGGAATCCTAGCCACCTCCTCAGGCCTCTCCCAAGGCATCGGTATGGTTTGTTTTGCTCGGTGATATCCATCATTGGGATCGTGACGTCTTCACACCTCTTCACTCCATCTAAAAGATCCATTCCATATTTCTTGCCTGCAGCTGTCCCTATCCTGACCCTCATCTTCCCAAAGCAAGAAAAGCTCAAAAGTTGAGAAGGCAGCATGCCACACGTCACGCGGCGGGATGGCACATCGCACAAAATCTGGCCACAGCAATCCACGGAGCAAGGAGGTTGTCAAGCCACAATTTGGATTCTGAAATTGAAGAAAAAAAGAAAGAGAGAGAGAGAGAGAGACAGGACAGAAAAGGATGTTACATAAGGTAGAAATACAAGCAAAGAATGCAAAAAGAGTTACCACAATTATCACAATTGCAATGTTTGTTTACAGAATGTGGTAGTCATAGTGCGATACTGTAACATTAGTTATATACAGTAATTCTTGTGGCGTGGGTTTTGATGCACACAAATGTTCACACCATGCCAGCATGGCTAGAGGGCACTGGCGCTCGGGCATTTCTGGTCGAGGCGCCTGCCACATCACAACTCTGACCCGGCGTCAAATCAAAATGAAAAAAGCTAACACGTCAACTCGAAGTTGCTCGAAGTTCAGCTACATGTCAACTACTTTGCCTCTCAAGCCCTCACGACGAATACATACGAATACCTTTGTAAGGTCAAGTCTGACCTTTATTTGACCACGCAACATACGAGAGCTCTCGGAGAATACGATTAAGCAGCCTTGCCACATGGTCGTACAGGGTGATACTGAAGTCCTTCACCAGCGTTCACCACGGCCACGGTGAAGTCCTCGTCTGTTAAGTGGCGCACCTTACTGTGTCCAGGAATCCAGTGTCCTGCCGCTCCCCGAGGTCTCCAAGGTCAAGTAGCAGAATTCTTCCCATCTTGTCACCAGTGACAAGCTGCTACTTACAGAAAATGATTCTCGAGTTCTTATACACGCAGAATCTCAGGAGAGACAGGAGAGAAGATTTTAGGCGAGCACCAAAACGATCATGAGAACGTGGCCGCCGTCTTCACCTTCGACCTGAAATGCACAGAAGACCAGAAGGCAGCAGGCATTCTCTCTCTTGACTGCCCAACCTTGTCAGGTCCGAGGCGGCGAAGCCAGCCAACTGGCCTGAGAGCCAAAGGAAAGTGTTTTGTTCACTTCTATTCTTTCTGCTTGAAACACGGAATCATTTTATGGGCTTTGGCCAGTGTCATCTATCCGACTGAGGATCCTCACACCCAAGCGATTCCGCCGGAAGGTAGTGCCTCGAGATTCTTCGCCAGGCTCAAGCGTCTCTCATTCGACTGGTCCGCAAATAAACACATACATACTGTATATATATATATATACAGTGAATTGTATAATATATATATATATCGTACTATCATATATATATATGTATAAGATCGTATAAGTAATGTCACACAATCATATATATATATACATAATCAAACACAACCCATCACCGCGCTCACTCTGGACCCCACAATCAATGGAACAAAAACAACAAAGTGCTGCAAAAGTGACGATGTATGCTGTGGCCTTCAATCGCAAATATGCGTATTGATTGAATGGAAAGTCGCTCGCCTGCAGTCGCCCAACAAGAGCTTCCAACAAATGCAGGAGCCTTGGTCGAAAAAATTGGCCTACAGTATTGCGCCCTTGAAATACAGGACCAGAGAGAAACGAACCGAGACACTGAATATCTTTGCCTCTTTTTGGTGCAGTGTTTTCCTCTGCTGGCCCCGTCACGCAAGAATGCCGTCAAAGCAAAACTCGGACACCTGTGCCTGAACACCCACATGCTGGAACCTGTTGCGCAAAGGCAAAGGACACAGCGACGCAAAGGCCGTTGTGTTGCTTTAGATTCTTACGATTGATTGGCCGGAACAAGGCCCAGACAAGCTAATAAGTGTTTTGAAAGAAGGTATGATTAATTAATTAGGCATCCCGATACTTATATGCTTGAGAAACTTGGGCCACATGTTTCTCAAAGAAAACTCCATGTTCGCAGGCTCAACTAGCTCCTTGGCCACAATTTTCAGTCACAAAGGATTGACACTGTGGTGTCTTAGAATCCGTCAAGATGGACGAAGGATCCGTCAAAACGGATAAAGAGACCCAGCCATAGATACTGGCAAGTAAGAAACTCCCAACAGCGCGAGGATCACCGGGACTGACTCTTGCTGCGACAGTGGGTGTAGAATGGCCAGGCACTTACATTAGGTTATATTGAATATATATATATATAAAGCGGGGTGTTGCAAAACTTCGGAAGTCCGGTATGTTGATCCCGCGTATGGAATCCTGGCAGGGTACACCACAAACTGCATCCTATCAATGTTCAATTTTTGCATCTTGCTTTTGACAATTGCATTTCTTCTATATAGGGGTCAGAAAGGCTGATTAAGACAGGTTGCAAATGCAGCTCAGTTAGCATGTGCAACTGACAGTAAGTTGAGAAATTCAACCCATCATCACATCTCCTATGCCACATATGCCCAAGCATTTAGCATGAAACATGCTGCTTACTGCTTTCTGAAGCAATACAGTACTGTATTCAAAAGGTGTGACAAACTCCACGACTTTCTGCCAGACAAAGCGCCCGTTCCAAATGTGTCGCAAGTTTCGAACGATGGACAATCAGTGGCTACATGTTTATTCTTGACGGCACTGTCCGAGGTGCTTTTGCTGCATCGCTTGCAACTCCTGGGCCAAGAAACTGGGTCAAACCATGTCAAACCATGGAAGGGTAGTGATGGACAAAACTGTGTTGGAACCATTGTTGGACAGAATGCAAGTGGTTTCTTAACAACGGCAATTGCTTGGAATGCCTTCTCTTTTCTGGGTCGTGTGACTATGGGACTGCGGGTTTGTATAGAGTGTATGCAAACTCGAGGTGCCTTTTGCGACCGCGGTTTGCCTAACATGCAATGCACAAAGGATCACCTCTGGACCTCTTTCGTGCTTTTTGGACGACATTCTTCTCCCACTCAGGCTGTCTTTTGGGGCACCTTGACCTAAACAAACAAAATCGCGGGATGGCGAACTATTGCATGCAAAAACTACTGAGCAAACCGTGCAAACCCAAATCATTGTATCACGATACATGATGCGCAGGGATCTGGTCTTGCTTCAGCACAATTTGGACTGGATTACTGCCTTTTGGAACGCAACTAGAAAATCGAAATATGTGTGGCAAGGCCTTCACACGATTACGCCTCCACCAACATCCGAAAAGCTTAGCAGCGATCCTCAGCATGCAGCAAATCACCCAACTTCACCAATTCCAAGAAGACATTGTCATGGCATGCCCAGAAAGCTTGGACCAACAATACGGAAGGAAGAACAACAAATCAACGACAACAGTTACCAGTCTCTGCCCCTTGTGTATCCCAATGTTTTTCTTTTGTTTGGTCTTTCCTCTCTCCTCTCATATTTGCCCGTCTGTCTGCCAAACGCATGTTGATACCAAGACGCACAAGGACCAGCAGCAAAGCGAAAACGAGCAGAGGCCTTGGCTTCTGCTTGTCACATCCGCTGCCACCGCGGCCAAATAAAATACACAAACACACACACACATGGAAATGCGTACGGCTTGATTGCGGTTGCCACACGCCAGCCTGAGTGAAAAACCTAAGAGTTCAGGTACATTAAAGTCAGGAAAGTATTCAACCTCTCAAGGCCTCCAAAAGTCCCCAAATCCCGAGAACTCAAATTTGCAAATCACGAAAGCCGAAAGGCGGCGACAGGATGACGGCGATCGAGAGCAGAACCGGTGCAAGGGTTGGCCATCTTGCTCTAGTAAAAGCAGGGACCAACAGCGTGAGACCCACCCAGGTGCGGTCAACAGCAAGCACGTTTGCACGTCCAATCTTTCACGGTCTTCGTTGGCCCTGGCGTGAAAGCCAGCCCAAAGCCCCCAGCTTAAAAACTAAAACACAAATCCGAGGGTTACACACACACAGACACACACACACACACACACACACGCCTCCCACAAGGGGAGGCGAAGAAAGCTAAGGCCAGGACTAATGTGCATGTGCGCGCGCAGCAAGGACAAAAAAATGAAGACATGAAAAGGAAACAAGACTGGACAAAAATGTACGTGGTTGCAATGAAGAGGAACCCACCTCATTGTCAAACCTGGGCGACCTGAAACCTGGGCTTGAAGTAGATGTGAATGTGCACGTGCAAACTAAGAAAGCCGGGATTGTGCCTGGTGTGGCAGCCCGGTCCCACGCGGCCCACAAGGACACGGTGAACCCTTCTTGACTGACGTTTCAAAGGGTGCCATCACCATTGCCCGTGATCGAGATTCAGAATCAGGAGGTTGTTGAGTACGTGGCGGTGACATGGTAACTCCCACATGGGGAAGAGTGGGAGTATCCCAAAAGGAGATCCAGGCGCACCTACATGGTCTGCTGTGGCTGTGAGAGCTCCTGGATATGGTGTGATCGAGTGTCAGCCACCAAATGGAAGTGTGACAAATGTGGCACACCTTGGCCACAGAAAGCATGGGGTACTCAGTTGCACAAGTATCCCAAAAAGAGGAACAGGCCGCACAAGGACAAAACGGTGATCTTGGACAAGCCATCAGGTCTGACGTCGAGGCCACAAGGCTCAATGGTTGAGGCGGCTTTGAAGAAAGGGTGGGGAAATTTGAGCAAGGATGTTCAAGCAGCTTTGAAGGAGGTGGGCATTGACTATACTCCTGAGCCAGAGCTGCAGCCGCTGGAAGAAATCCTGAAGGCACACCTTGAAGCCCTGCCGAAGGAAGTCAAAGAAGCAGTTGAGGGCCTGCTCAAGCCGTCGCAGAGTGCACCAGTTGATGACACTGGACAGCTCAAAGCTACGGTTGGGGAACTCAGGCAGCTATCTCACAAGAAGCAGTCACTGCAAAAGAAAGTGGACACTGCCAAGGAGCACTACAAGACCCTTTTGGATGAATTGAAGACAGTTCAAGAGGCCATAGATCGAGAGCACAAGCAGCTTGGCGACCAATCAGAAGCATATGCCAAGCGATTGAAGGAAGAAGCACTGCCAGGGTCTCCGGCCCCTGAACATGTCCTGGACCCAGACATGGCCAAGCTGGTATCATTGTCACCACGGACCAGCAGAAAGAGCTGGAACGCAACCTTGCTGAAACTTTGGCAAAGCGCCGAAAGACGGCGGGAGAGGCCACGTTGAGTGGGTAACACTCACAGAGCACCAATGGATGAAGAGAAAAAGGGGAGCAGTCTTTTACTTGAGAGGAGGAAGACACGAAAGGTAGGATGGCAAGAACAAAAATGCAATGTTCGACATGGTGATTTATCCCCTCGGAGGCGACCTTTCGTAAATATATGTTCATATGGTCCGCAGCGCACCTTGACCGGCCACTCTGGCCATTCCACGTTTGTGCTACGTGGAATCATTGCTCATCAACGAGAGGAGCTGGTGTCGGGACACAATGTGACAATGGTAGAAGGCGATGCAATATGGGTGGTTGATGATGGAGAATGCACACAAATTCAAAAAGAAGTACCGGATCACATACAGGGAGGAGTGGTCATAGTGTGGGCATCACGTGCTGAACCTTCATCTTTCTGGTCCAGAGCCATTGGAAGTTTTGATCCGCCCACCAAAAGGACACGAATTTCAGGTGGATAAATCGAGTTGTTCTATGGCAACATCACACAAGGAATGGCTCCTTCAACAAGATATCCTAATTGCCATGCTGGCTGAGACTCATTTACGAGGACTCAAAATGGAAGGAGTCATGACTGAACTGAGCAGGAGTCGATGGCAACCAGTCTTCCTGCCAGCCTTTGAGACAGGCAGAGGAGGGACGAGTGGCGGTCAGTTATTCTGCTGTCGAGAAGGCCAATCTGCTTACAGGATTCATCAGTTTGACCTGGATGGCAATGGTTTCTTGGCGAAAGTCCTTCAGAGGCAACAATGGGAAATAGTGCTGGTTTCGCTGTACCTCAAATGCAGGGAGGACCTCAACTCCCATGCTAATGCCACCATTCTGGGCGCGCTGGCAGCCTTCCTGCAGGAGCTTGCGATAGCGTGGCTTGTTGTTGGAGATTTCCAAGTGCCACCGGCCCAATGGGAAGGCCCAACCTGCTGAGTGTCTTGAAAGCAGAAATGGTGTGCAGGGGGCCGCCAACGATGGTGAGTGGAGCAGAACTTGACTATTTGCTGGCGAGTCGTTCGATTGCTCCGTTCGTAGACATCAAGGCCAATTGGGACGTTCCTTGGAAACCTCACGCTGGCCTGGTGGTAACCATTGACAAAGCTGCACCGAGGTTGGACCGAAGGAGATCCAATATGCGGAGTGGTGTCACAACACCTGCACGAGCCAAAACAAGGACGTGGATGGTACCTTGCATTGGAGGTCAAGCCTTTGCCTGTAACCCATGACACCCTGGCGAAAAGGTGATCCGGCATATTGGGGGCAGTCCTGCTCACTCCTCCAACACATTGCGGGTAGGCGCCACATTGGGACATTGGGACTGGAACCATGGATCACTTGAGGGCCAAAACGGCTGATCTGACAATGAGATGGCAGGACATCCAGGGCTTGGAGGCCTTCCAACAGGGCCTAGAGGCTTTGCTAGCAGGAGATCCTATGCCGTTGACTCTTCTGATCAAAGGAGCAGAATGCGATGCAGCCAAGAAGCTGGCATTGGAGCAACAGGCGGTGGAGTATCAGAACTGGCTGTCTCAGGCCACGCTGAAAGGACAGAGTGGCATATACCGTAGCCTAAAGGCCCCAAACACAGTGCATGTGAGACCTTTCAGGAACGTGCCTGCGCAGGAGCGTCAAACCCTTCGTGAGCAGCAATGCCATGGGAGATGGCAAATCTTGGACAAGCCCAAGGAGAGTGGGGAGAGAGAGCGCCTGAGATGAGAAGGCCTTGTACAAGCACGCAATTGGGAAGACCTTGACCCACATGAAGTCATGAGGAAGCTCCGCAAACTACCTCAGAAGGCCTGTGGCCCAAATGGCATCAGTTATGCCATGCTCAAGAATCTGCCCATCGAAGGTGTCACAGATCTCTGCAGAATGATGAGAAGGTGGGAACTTGCTGGGCGCCTACCTGACCAAGTGTGCACCACTTTGGTGGTACTACTTCCCAAGAAGGACATTGAGCGTCCGATTTCGCTGACCAGTGTGATGTACCGCACGTGGTGTCGTTTGAGATGGGACAAACTCAAACACTGGCAGTGCAGCATTGGCCAAAGGCTGCCTTGGGAGCGCAGCGTACCTGGCACACAGGTCCTTCAAGTTGCACTGATACAAGTAACAAGTGCCACGCTAGTAGTAACAGGTGCCTTACTAGTAGTAACAATGTTTGCTATTAGAATTAGAATAAAATAAATAGCTTCTTGTTACTACTACTAGTAAGGCACTTGTTACTAGTAGCGATGCACTTGTTACTAGTAGCAAAGGAATCTACTTGAGGTTGGTCGTGCCGTCGGCCGCCATGTCTTTTCCTTGGTGGATTTGCAGTGCTTCTATGACAGAAGAAGAATTGGAACAGCTGTTAGTACTTTGGGAACCGCTTGATTTCCCACCAGCTTTCATGAACTTCATCTATGAGGTCTACACTGGACCGAGGTTGCTGCAGGCCGAACAGGTCACATCTCATGCAGTTCACTGTGGCCGAGGAATGTTGGCAGGGTGCCCGGCAGCTCCCCTAGTTGCCAAGCACCGGTCT